ACCTATAACTTTATTTTTATTACTAGCTTTTGCCCTCAATTTCGTCCGTGTAAAGCTGGAATCTATACATTTTCTTTATAGCTAGAGCAAAAAAAAGGTATTCCGAATTTCATGTCACTTTATTGTAATCGGAGTCACAGAACAAACACTTTATTTTAACATGAAAAATCAAATTTTACACTATAATAAGTATCTCTCTTGTCTGGCTACCCTGTACGAGTCGTTCATCAAGCATGTAGAATATTCCTTCTCTTAACTTTTGATTATCATTCCCGTATAATCACCACGAGGGCTAATAAAACTACCTTTCAATTTGTCAAGCTTTCGAGAAATGTATTCCCATCATCAGGCCATTTTGATGAGTTAATTAACAAAACAACTTTTGCACAATAAGGCCTCACAAACTAACATCATTGGACCTTGGAATTACAAAGAATTCTACACACACCGGAAAAGTCTAGGGATATTACAATTTTATGCAGCCATCTTCAGTAATTTTATTATTTGCATTTCTGATATAATAAAATTAAAATAAACAAATAGTTTACAGGACGTATTGGAAATAAAAATGCGAAATTAACCGAATTTTTCAAATTTACCTTGATTTTTATTGAGCTTAAAAACATATACAATTTTTTTTTATTCTAAACTGTAAATTAAAAAAAAAAGATAAAACCATTTTTACTTAATAAAGGGTATGGCCTCCTCTACTGTTCATTACAGCCCTACGTGGCCCTACATCGTCTCTCCATGCTCCTGATCAGGTTGTCGATCTCTTCTTGAGGTACAGCCTGCCACGCTGCATTCATGGCCCGAACCAGATCCCTACGAGTTTCACGAGGCATACCCATTCTCAAAATTCTTCTTTGGACCGCGTCCCGTACGTGCTCGATGGGGTTGAGGTCAGGAGATTGTGCCGGCCAGGGTAAGATGTTTAATTGATGAGCATTGATAAACTCACTTACCACTCTGGCTGTATGAGGCCGTGCATTGTCATGCATGAGAATGAAGTTTCTCCCAAAATCATTGGCATATGATAACACGACAGGTTCAAGAATTAAATCACGGTATGTGATTCCTGTTAGAAACCTTTCAAGAAAAACGAGATCGGTTTTTCGGCCTAACTGGACTCCTCCCCAGACTATAACTGTTCCACCTTGATAAGGGTGCACTTCCTGAACATGATCCAACCGAATAAAATTTCCTGGTTCTCTCCATACCCTTAGCCTTCTCGAATCCGGATGAATTCCAAAGCGTGACTCATCCGTGAAGAGAACATTGACCCATTGTTCATTCGACCACTGAACATGATCTTGAGCCCACAAATATCGTACCTCTCGATTTCCTCGCGTTAAGGGTTGAGCTCTCCAGGGGCGTCTGCTTAAGTTGACCTCTCTTAATCTATCGCGAACAGTGTCAGGACTAACGGTTACATTATGTGTTTCCTGGAGAACTAAACTGAGCTCTGGTGCTGTAAGAGTCGGTCGGCGTCGAGCATTTCATTGTAAAAAATGATCTTGCTGAGGGGTAGTAATGCGATGTCGTCCTGTGTGTCTTTCAGCAACATCACCACTTTCACGGTAGCGTGCACTTAATCGCGATATTACACTTTGCGTTGTATTTAATGCTCTTCGAGCATACCCATGGCCCTTAGCATTTCGTCTCTGTTAAGATGTCTACGCTCCATAATGTCGTTTAATACTAAACAGAGTTATTTGAATGAATTTTGGCCAGTTATCATAAAAACATAGCCAGGACAGGTTAAATTCGAACAATTGATGCTAGGTGCTTTTTATACATTTGACAAAAAATGCACAAACACTTCTACAAATATACCAAATTTAGAAATAACTAGTGTGACTACTTCGTTTCAATCGAAGTAGAAAGAATCGGCCTACAAATATGTGGTTGTTTATTCAAAACATTTATTTTTAACTTTAATAAAATGATATCCCTAGATTTTTCCGGTGTGTGTATTTATATAAATATTCAAAATAAATATACATCTAAATACACTTTTTATTTAAGCAATTACTTAAAAAGAAATCGCTACATTGTTTCCAGCTCGATCAGACAGTGAATGTCTGATCACTGTCTGAGCATGTTCACTGTCTTTGAATGTTGTTTTATTAATTAACTCATCAAATTGTGCTCGAAAACGTGGAAAGTAGTTTATTAGCCTATGTGACAATTATTGACTGCATCCTCACTAGAATTAGTGGTTTCTTTTTAACTTAGTCAGTCACGACTAAACCTGCGGTATATTTTAATCTTAAATTATTTAGAATCTTAAATACTTTAAAATATACCTAAATCTGGGCAGTTGAAACGAAGTTTCATACACCCAACTTTTATCCCTTGTAGAATGTAGAATGTGTATGGGAGGAAGGTTACCGCGACTTTACAGATCTATTGTGTCTCCCTTTCTTGAGTTATAACTCATCATACAGTCTCAAGGTTTTACAAAAAACAGTTACAGTTACAAAAGCCAGTATCTGAGAGAGTTTTACAAAGGTTAGTTCTCTATCTCTCATATCAGTCGTAACATCTTGGCGCACTCGGTGTTTCCCCATTTTCCCCATATAATCTGCATTCGTTGTTTCTTAAATTAATTCTACTGAGATGTTCATTGAGTATAGTATTGATTAGTATCCTGTTAAAAACCCCGTGAAAATCCAAAGATTATTCTTACTTAAATCGAGAAAAATTCTTACTTAAATCGATACTTCTCGGTTGTAAGTTCTGAGAAATTCTTCTTCGAGTGTCTTAGAGCGTTGGAGGATTCCCATTCCAGATTACAGATTCTGATAGAATAAAATTAAAATAAACAAATAGTTTACAGGACGTATTGGAAATAAAAATGCGAAATTAACCGAATTTTTCAAATTTACCTTGATTTTTATTGAGCTTAAAAACATATACAATTTTTTTTTATTCTAAACTGTAAATTAAAAAAAAAAGATAAAACCATTTTTACTTAATAAAGGGTATGGCCTCCTCTACTGTTCATTACAGCCCTACGTGGCCCTACATCGTCTCTCCATGCTCCTGATCAGGTTGTCGATCTCTTCTTGAGGTACAGCCTGCCACGCTGCATTCATGGCCCGAACCAGATCCCTACGAGTTTCACGAGGCATACCCATTCTCAAAATTCTTCTTTGGACCGCGTCCCGTACGTGCTCGATGGGGTTGAGGTCAGGAGATTGTGCCGGCCAGGGTAAGATGTTTAATTGACTTAAGTAGAGCGTTGGAGGATTCCCATTCCAGATTACGGATGGAGTCTTCCAGGTTCTTGAGTTCCACTTTAGGTTGGTTTCCACTTGGGAAGCAGAACGGTTTTATATTTCCGTCAATAACTATTCTAATCATTGTCGCATTGGAATAAATACCGATGACAATATGCAATGGTGTTACGTCTAGAATATCCTCCATTGCTGCTGTTAGGCATGTTAACATGATTTTATGCATCTGCATAACAATGCTGAATTGGGTCGCTTAAGGAACTTCCGTGTAAAATTAGACCTTCTGACTCTGAATATAACTCAGAAGTATATGCCGTAAAGAGACAACAAATGGCCGAATTTCATCCAAAATGACTTTCTGGTTCACGACAAGTTCGATCAGTCACTTTCTATTATTTTTTAATGGTTTTCAATATTTTTTATATAATATATTTAAAAATTACCTACCGTATGAAAAAACGACGTCGAAGGCAGCTGGGGAATGACAATCGATGATAATTTTAGATAGAACCAACACTAATTTTAGGAATATTAAAAAATGATAGAATATTTCCAGACATACATACTTTTAAATATATAATGCTATAATACATAATATAAATATAATACATAATTTTAAACTACGCACCAATTAAGAATAATTTTTATTCAATATAAAAATCGCAATTAAAAAATAAAATAAGGGGCTAGTAAATGACGTCTAGGGCTTGACCTCGCCGAAATTATCATCGATTGTCGATACGTACCGTAGTTTGTTGAAACATGCCATGAAAATCGGGTATTGGTGTTTGTGTTTGTACTGGAATTACGGAAACCTCTCACTGTTGGTGTTGATGGCTGATGTTCCGCGGGTTTTACACTGCTAACCCTGAATACTTTTCTGTTAGCGTCACTTTCCTGTATCTCCGACTGTCTAAGATTTTCCGTACTTCTGAGTTTTTCAACAAAGGTATCGGTATATTTGATGTTGTTGTATTCAGGATTAATGTTATCGTTTCCGTGATTAGATAACGGAGGTATTAGTATTATACACATTTTTGGTACTGTTTATTTAGTTCGACTAATCTAACAACAGGAACCCTAGAAGGGTCAAATTCTGAGTCTTTGATTCGAATGTAGAAAACCGTCATTTCTGTTTATATTTCTAAAAGCCTTTCTATAAACGGGCGGATCAAAAAAGTGCTTTTTTATCCAATAAAAAAACTTTCTTATAACATAATATTATTACTGTCATTGGCACTTCCAATTTTAATTATAAGGCTCCCCGACTTTTGTGTAATTTGCTCAGTTGTTTTGCCATTAATATGCACGTTAACTTTTTTTTCTAATCCATTAATTAACTTTGACAGTATTATTACTAGCCATGTCGTTATTCGTAGTTTTAACAATTAGTTTGAAATATATGTTCATATTTCCTAATTTGTAATCTTCGTTTCCCTTGACAGCCACGGGAACTTTAGAGCGTTCAAAGCAAGTTGTTATATTGACAGCGGGTGGACCCCTGTAGTAATACATCTTAACAGACACATGTAAACATTTCGTTCTTTTTATTTCGAAGTTAGCTATTTTGGTTGGTTCTTTTGGAGTTGGTTCTATGTTTGCTACTTACTATTTGTACTTTTTTGCTAGCTTGTCAAACAAAAGGGCAGATGTCGACAGACCATATCCAAAAATCGACAATAAACTAATACTATTCCCTGGTTGGACAGACTAGTATATGTACTGTTTTGATTGTATATTAGGAAAATAAAAGATCTATTTAATTCAGTAAATTTATTTTTGGGTAATAATATGAATATTATACATTTTATATAACGAATAAATAATGATTTCCACAAAACCTTTGGTCCCTAAAATGTACTAATAATGTAGGTATATAAACGTACACATTTATTAGTCCATACATCAAAGAAATTGTTATTGCTGTCTCGTTTTACTTATTTACGCTAAATTAGTACGAATATAACAATTTGCTGGCGTAATTCAATAAATATAATAATATGTAAACTGGAAACAAAACATAAAATAATATTTCTGAATAATAACATTTTTAACTCAATTCAGCAATACAATAATTTAGAACATTATTATTATATTTTGGAAAAATATTAATATAGTTTATGGTTTGTTTCCGTATATTAGAATAATACCTAGCAACTCCTCGCTATATTATACAAATTACATATGAACATAAATAGTTAAACAAAATTTACATACAAACAGAAAAATATATAATAACGTAATCACTTAATATTGAGCTTGAAACAAAAATGACTATAATGAACACTATTTACAATAACATAATATAAAAAAAAAATATCAGGCTTTGACCGTCTTCAGGCCCTTCTTCCCTCCAAAGTTTCTTATCGACTCTAAAAGCATATCTCTGGCATCTGTTGGTTGACTGTTTATTTTTGATTCAACAGGTGTTGGTTTCTTTAATGCCACTTTTGGTATTTGCGGTGGTGGAGGTGGTGGTGGACCTTGTGTGACAATAAGTTTGTTTCTGGTTGAAACATTTTCCATTGTTGGTTTAGGTAATCTCCCGGAAGATTCAATATCGTTGCTGTTTGCATCAGTTTTAATCAACTTACTGGATTCAGTCCTTCTTAGATTAGATTGGGAGAAAGGTACGTTCTGATTTGTATTGTATTCTTTTTCTAGTATTGGTTTATGCGGTAATGTACCGTAGTTTGTTGAAACATGCCATGAAAATCGGTTATTGGTGTTTGTGTTTGTACTGGGATTACGGAAACCTCTCACTGTTGGTGTTGATGGCTGATGTTCCGCGGGTTTTATACTGTTGACCCTGAATACTTTTCTGTTAGGTTCACTTTCCTGTTTCTCCGAGTGCCTTAGGTTTTCAGTGCTTCTAAATTTTTCAACAAAGGTATCGGTATATTTGTTGTTCTGATACTCATGATTAACAATATCGTTTCCCGAGATATGAGTAACGGATGTATTGGTATTATGCATATTTTTGTACTGTTTCTTCAATTCGACTGATCTAACGACAGGAACTCTAGAAGGGTCAAATTCTGAGTCAAACGCAATGGAATGTGGTCTTTGATTCGAATGTAGAAAACCGTCATTTCTGTTTATATTTGTAAAGGCCTTCCTATAAACGGGCGGATCAACAAAGTGCTTATTATCTAACTTTCTTATGTAATTATTACTGTCATTGGCACTTCCAATTTTAATTATAACGTTCCCCGACTTCTGTGTGATTTGCTCACTACCGCTACCAATAGCGTTATGGTTCCTACTGTTGGTCGTTAGTTTCCCATTAATATGCACGTTAACATTTCTTTCTAATCCATTTGATTTAACTTCGACAGTATTATTACTAGCCATATCGTTATTTGTAGTTTTAACAATTAGTTTGGAAGATACATTCATATTTCCTAATTTATAATCTTCATCTTCCTTGACAGCCACGGGAACTTTGGGGCGTTCTGACCAAGTTGTCATATTGACAGCGGGTGGACCCCTGTAGTAGTACTTCTTAACAGGCTCAGGTGAATGTGGCGTTTTCTCTTTTAATATTTCGAAGTCAGGTATTTTGGTTGGTTCTTTTGGAGTTACTTCTACGTTTGCTACTTGTTTTTGAGGCACAGTTATTTTTTCCTTATAGCTAATGTTCTCCATCGAACCTGTTGGGGTACTCAATTTATTTTGAATGAGTTTCATAACCTAAAAAATAAAAAGGCATGATTAGAATTGGTTAGTCGATGTACAATATGATAAAAAACGGCGTCCAGTTGGCTTTGGAATGACAATCGGTGATATTCAGCATATTATTTCCCATATGAACAGGCAGATATTTTCATTCCAAATCCATCTCTGATGCCGTTTTTTATTCGATCGTATGATATTTTATAATTAAGAGATACGAAATAGACTTGTCAAAGACTTGAAATGAAAAATTGCAATACAATAATTTCCATTTCTTTTGTGAGTTTTACAATAATAAAAGACAGAAAAAAAAACAAATTTTTATATCGTACAGTAATAATATAAGAAAATTTTTATTTATCTTTCATTTATTATAACGGAAATTATAATTCATGTTGTGGTGACAAGCACGGAGCCGTCATCAATCATTAAAATTGTTGGCAATACTGTATTAAGAGGATTTTAGGATTAGTGATTGGTACAGATGATACAAGGAATTATTAACAGAAAAATTTGAGCAAATTTTTCATTGATATCAATCTTTTTAGTTTTTCTTTATCTTCTTGAAAATTTATATGTTTTGACATTGTTATTTATGATATCGACATATTTTTCAATGGAAAAGTTTACCAGTTTTCAATACAACTATAAAATTCAACACTAAAAATTAATAATTATTGTAAGTAAACATAAAAACTAAATATGCATCGCTATCGCTTCCACAAAAGTTTCTTGTACATACATTTCTTTTCTCAACGAAAGGGTGGTAGTAACGAAAGATACATTATTGTCAAATTAACAATTTTATTAACTTTAATTTGGCGATGGAAGAATATTTTTTATGTTTTGATTTTGGTGAATAAAAAAGAGGACTTTTTTAATAGGCGAGAGATAAGAGGACAGTATGATCCATAAGAAGAATATCCTCTGGAATAGAGGACGGTTGCCAACCTTAAAAGGTGCGCTTTCCTAGCGACGTCCAGGGTTGCCACAAGAAAATTTTTGATTGTGCAGAACTTGACCATAAAAATGTGTAGCATTGTGTAGCCATCCATGACCAATAACTGTAAACTATCCAATTAGACAAACCCAATTCGCCAAATTTTAAAGCGATTGCGAGTCTCACTTCTACTCGTTTGTATACGTCAACATATTCATTTCCCATTTCATTTCTTCTTATGCCTGCAAGGATTGCAGTGGCGTCAATATTGATGCTGCGAAACTAACAATTTTATGGACAAATTAGACCGGTTAATTCTGTTTAAAAACTGTAAACTATTCAGGACTGTTTAATCGCTCAAATTTGTCCATAGAGACTGCAGTCCTTGCTGACATTGAAGGGATTGAATAATACTCGTTTGCATATGTGAATGCAAACGAGTGGAAGTGAGACTGTGAACTACGGTGACGTAATTGAGTAGTGAAATTTGGCCAAAGTATTTATTGGCCATTGTATTCTCGTCTCCCTTATTTCTACATGCACGGCTCCTTAGAAGTGGACCGACCAACCCTTGCGGTGTATCACCAGCTTTGCCAAAACTCCAATGTAAGGACATTCGAGTTGGCGAGTCATCAACTCGACGGAGGAGGGCCATGGTCAGGTCCTCACAACAGGAATTGGCCTCAAATCCAAGGAGGTAATAGAGAAAGGGAGATATATCATCTATTATTGATACGGGACAATACCAGTATCAGGTTTAAGAAGACACCAAGTTAAAGAGGTTGAGAAAATGCAGACAAATCCTAATATCATCTATATAGATTCTATATAGATGATATCATCTATATAGATATCATATATAGATTCGGGACAATACCAGTATCAGGTTTAAGGAGACACCAAGTTAAAGAGGTGCAGACAAATCCTCCAGACTCCACTTCAAGGGTACCTGAGCGGGAGACAAGCTCCTCGACTGTGAAGGGCATGGAGGGCTAAACCTCAATCATGGAAAGGTGTACACTCTCGTAGGAGGTAGATGTCCACTCTTCGGAGGATGAACAGTTGTTGTGAAAGGAGGATGGGAAATACCATGTCCCCCCTACAACAGTATTACAGTCTGTATTATGAGTTATAACTGCAGAAAGAGGAACACAATAGATCTTTAAGGTTGCGGTCCCTTTCATACATTTTAAGTAATTTTTAGTTTATTTGGACGCTATAGAGTCAGATAGTTTACTAATTAAACTTTGTGTTATATAATATTGTGTCTAAAACCAATAAATATTAGAATTTCTTAAATTTATTGCCAACCAAAGGAGTAAAATGAGAATAGCCAACTATTTCAATGATTGTTAATCGCTCCCTGTAATATAGTTTAATTATTTCCCAAGGGCATTTATATTGAGTTTTAAATAAGTATTGTTTAAAAAAATAGCAAATATGAACAATACCCCTCACCGTCCTTCACCTATGTTTTGTTATAATTCCCCAAAAATTAATATGTAATTATTTTCCCCCAATTTCTAAACTAATTTATTCTCTTTAATTTAAATTGTTTGATTTTCCGTTAAACTTACCTCCAAACTTTGCAATCCAGATACATCAAACAAGCTATTACTTCGAGATATAGATTCTTGGCCTTTATTATCCGCTTGGTATTTGTTTAGAGTCAAGCTGGATTTTGATCGGGATACGGGTTTCCCTGCGAATCTGCTGTCAATTGAAAATGATCCCGATCTAGCCACACTGGAAAATGATCCAAAATTAGTTGGCGTTGGCTTATAGAACTTATATTCCTTTTCTTCGCTGACGGAAGTCTGTTTTTTATTGAAAATTGGAATATTTTCAACAGCTTTTCCAGTATGTGTCCGCGAAGTGGTTGTGGAAGAATGGGTATTACTCCTAATAGTGTCATCCTCAAAAACAGTAATATTTTGTTTCGGAACGTCATACGTTGAGATTTTGAAATTGGGTAAAGTGTGATGGTTCTGTGATTGTCCAACGGTAGTTCTTGTTGGCTTTACAGGTTGTTTTTGCGAGTCAGTCGATGCACGTCTACTTTCATATTTGGGTTGAAAGTTTCCCGTCATACTAGTAAAGTTATCCATATTCCTAGATTTACTTTCTAAACTATCAGTCATTTTAAGACTAGTCGATAACTCTCTATTATAAACTAAAGACTTCCGTTTCTCAAGATGTTCCAATGAAAGGCTGTTTAGCGGATCGTCACTGGCTATACTAGTAATGTCGCTCGTCAAAGTACCATTCTCCGACTGATTATCTTCTAAAATTTTCAGTTTCTCAAACAATTCCGGAGACGTTACAACCGAGTCTTTAAAATCGCTAACCGTATTGGTTTCGTTTTGCAAAAACGTCGGCGGACTAGAGTCCCTGAAGGCTTTAGGAGGCGACGGTAGCTGATATTGCCAGTCCACATCGGCAACTTCGGCCTCCTGTATAACTAATGGAGGTGGTTCTGATACAGGCACTTGTTGTTTTGTAAAACTGTCTGGCAATTCACTTTCCGATTTAGGTTGTGTATCACCTTTGGAACTGAAATTAACTTCTGCTGAAATTTCAGGTAGCTTTTGCGGTTGGTTTGAGTAATTTATTTCATTGGGAATGTCGTCCAAAATTGGCGGAGGCGGTGGTGTGCCTAGCCTAAGATCTTCGTCCGACTCCTTTTCTTTTTCGGACTGTGCGTCTTGGGCAATACCGCTGTCGGTAGATTCTAGACTTTTGTCTTCGGGTTGGTTCTTGACTGGGGTACTACTTTCTAATGGTAAACTATCAAATGGCGTTTGCCCGGGTGTATAATTTGTTGACGTAATCGATTCTGAAAAATAAACGGGAATGTTTCAGTTTAATATTTTTTTGCTTATTAACATATTCAACAAATATATGTATGTACAAATGGCGTAAAACGATTGAAAACGAAGTTGTTAATGAGAACTAAAATCAGCTGTATGATAATGATTCGGTTATCAATACTAACGCCTTGTCTGATGATCTGAGACATGCATATTATTTTACAGGATGAAATGCCAATTAAAAAAAACAATTAAAAAAAATAATATAAATATTATAATTTGAGCACTGAAATCAAATTAAAAAACTGTTAACAGACTGAATCTTATTTTCTAATACAAGATGTCTCTTAAATAGGTACAAGTATTTTATTTTCGGCGTATTAGATCTGGTCAAAAAATAATACTTTCTATTTGGTATTTTTGAAGACATCAAATGTAAATAGGGTGTGGTGCAGCAGAAAAAAGCAGGTGCCAGGTGGTGTAAAGATATAGCATTTCCAAAGTTAATTGAACTGGTTATGGACTCTGAAATTATTATTTGTCCAGACGATACCGACAATGGCACAAAAGTCCTAAAGGCTCTGTAGTTTCGAAGCTGGAAATTCATTAACCGACTATTTTTAATAAAATAAAATTAGTCTTGGTAACTAGGCGGACTTGGCCTTAACTGAGTACTTGGGATTCACAATCCTGAGGGAATAATGGATATAGTTCATACCAATTACACTTTTAGTCACATCGGCACAGCGTTGCCTACTTTTACATATTTTCTTTTAGTCAAAATATTGTAGGAAACAAAAAAATATTTATAAATATACAACCAGTAGTATTTACATCAACAAAACTCATCTCCTTAACAGCAATTGAGAGACATAAAAAAAGTTGCGATGACTTCTTTGCATTGGCTATTAAGTTATCTTGTACACTTCGCACTAAAAGAGGTTGTAAAAAGAACTTCTTTTATATTTTTTATATTCGGCTGCAAGGTATGATAGTAAAAACACAATTCATTTGAACTAAAAATTCGTTATACAAAATTAAAGTGTCAAAACGAATGACAGTATCAGGACATAAATAAATAAATGTGGCAACTTGACATTTTTTACAGCAGAGCTACCACCTGAATCCCCGGGAGATTTAAGTTCAAGTTAGTCGGCCCGGAGCCGAATATGTCCATGGTTGGCAAAAATTAATTTAAAAATTACGTAACTAAAAGTTTAAATGGTATCGCCTATAGTTGAAACGTGCTGGGGACCCATTATCTTCTTTGTATTCGCATGTCCACGTTATATACCGGAAACTATAATTATTATTATAATTGATTCAACTGGCAATCAGCTGGCCCTAAGCTTATTCGACTTCTTGTTTTGCCAGAATAGAAATAAGAATATGATAAATACATGAAAAAAAATATATAGCAAACTTAAATATAACTTACAAAACAAAAATGCACAGCGCCAGCAATTTTAATAGCCCGTTTTGCGGTTTTAACCTTAGATTAACTATAAAATACACATTAACAATAAAATTTTAACTGGAGTTATGATGCGTGAAAATTCAAATAATATTCTGCGTTAAGTGAGATTTTGTTTAATACATGTGGGTGTGTGGGTGTTTGAGTACCGATAATGGTGGATAAAAAATGACGTTATGTTCTTATCGAAAGGATAAGTACAAACAAAATATTTAAGTCATTTGTTGGGAAAATCATGGATTTAAAAAAAAATAAAGATATACTTCATAACATTGCGAGATAAGAAAAGTTGCAATAATTGTACCTAAATATTTTTTTTAGTTTAGTGAAAATATCCGTAAAAAGGTATTTAAGTAGTGTGTTTTTTGGCAATGGCATGGCATACCGATATGGCATACCGGGATGCCATGTAGCATATGGGCCCAGCATACCGGTATGCCATGGCTGCATGGCATACCATGGCATACCGGCAACGGCAATTGCATACCGATGTGAATCAAGTTAGGTATCCACAATTTTTATGTAGGGTCGGGAGAGAGAAATATTGCTGGGACTTTGAGAGAAACCAAACCAAACCTTTAAGAAATCGACGAAGAAGCGGTAACACTAAAATATTTTTAAAATTTGTTGTTTAAACCCTCAAAAAATATAAAACTACAATAATTTTTATAGCAAAAAAACTCATGGACGTGTTTCTGCGTTAAACTATATTACCAGTTAAAATACTTGCACTTATTTAAGATACACCCTGTAACTCAACATTATTTTTTATATCTGATAACAAATATATCAAAATTTGATCACAAATAATATGTTAAGCTCTTAGAGCAAAATAATTTTAATGTACAGTACAATGATTATTTTACAAACAACAAAAATACACAAACACTACACAAGAGACGTAAATTGTTACAAATATTACAACTGATTAGTTTATTACACAGTAAAACTACATTGTCTAACTGGCTATAATATCTACATTGATCTAGAATATATCTACAACAGACTAAAGACCAGAGACAAGACAGATGAATAAGAAAAATAGAAACATGCCTGTATTTGTTGCTTCGGCAACTACCCATTTGTTTGTAACACCCACAGACTTAAGAGACGTAGAATCCAGAGTTTCACTGTTATTCCATTTTCTCATTTTTGCACCGTTCAATCCCGGTACACTAGACATACTACTAAAACTACCAAGTGATGTGTTTCTTTGGAACGAAGGAGTTTGAACGTCCTCCTCAAAAGAGTGCATTCCGAACAACTGATTAAAAACTTCTGGTCGTTTTTTTCTGGATGCCCTGGACAGAGAACCACTGAACATTTCCTCATCGATATCACCAATTTCATCATCTGAAACGTTCACCACAGAGTTTCTAGAAGATTTACTATCGTAACTTCTTTTACTGCTAATACTGCTAGATTCAGCATCGAAGTTCTTCTCCAAAATGGAACTTCCTATCTGGAAACATCTTTTCTTTCCAAAGGAGTCCTTGTTGGAGTTATATTTATGTTCTGATTTTGGTGTTTTAGGGATCACGGCTACAATCGATGGTTTTGACTCGTTCAAAAACTCTTGTGAACTAAATATATCAGAAACAAAGGACTGTTGAAGGCTTGATATAGAGACGTTTAAAGAATCACTGTTTAGGTGAGGTTGAAAAACTGGAGATTGAAAGTTTTCTTTGTCTGCATTAAAAGGATTTACTACTTCTAAGCTTGGAAGCATTTCTTCGATAGAATAATCGGTAGAAGCAACTTCTGCATTTGATGAAATTCTAATGGGTTGTTTCCCAAGTTTAAAATCTAACGGAATTGGTCTTCTTTCTCTCATACTTTCGTCAAGCGTACTGTTTATTTTACGTTTCGGTTTTTCTATATCTGTTTTGTTACTTTTCAGGTACACATTAAGATTCTCTTGGTAATCCTGAGTATGAACTTCCTCCGATTGTTTTACTTTTGCTAATACCTGGTTGTGATCTTCCAGCTTTTCAAAATGTGTATAATCGGTCGATCGAATTTGTTGACTTTTCGGCCTTTGGCGCATCGGAACAGGTGGTCCTTTATGTCTTGGTTTAGGTTTAGGTGTAGGGTTAGTGGTTGGGGTTAAAGATGTTTCCAACACCTCAGAAAGTTCTACCATGCAAAAATAAACGTGTTGTTAAGAAAGCAGCAAAAAAAAATGGGTGGCATAAATTTTACAAATATAGGAAAAAATAAATAAGTATAGCGCCTAAATCAACAGTGCCTGAATAATATTATATTACTAGTCTTTAGCATGCTCATATATAGAAAAATATTTATTTATATTTTTCTCAGACAAATATATGTAGTTCGGTGTTAAAGAAAATAAGATACTGTAAGATACCAAAGTTTTTTGTAAAACAAGTAATGTTATTTTAATTGTCTCAGTATTTGTCTTAATTATGCATTATACAATATTAACGCATGTCTTTTTGATGAATTAATTACTTTCTTTTGTGGTCTATACAGGGTGTCCTAGAAATAAGTGCAAGTATTTTAACTGGTAGTATAGTTCATCCCCAGAAACATGCCCATGAGGTTCTTTTTCGCCAAAAATAAATTTTGAAAATTCGGAATTTTCTGAATTTTTTTTGGAAATTTATTTAGTTTTTAGTTAAAAACATAATTTCTTGATAATATGGCAACATAGGTAGTAGATTCAATTTACAAGAAAGAAAATCCAAAAAAGATCCAGTGGTTGTCAAAATTTTAGCAAAAAAACATTTTTTTTTAATTTTCAAAGCAAAATAACTCCGTTATTTTGGACTTATTTGAAAAACGATAAAGAGAACATATGTTTCTTTTATCGAGATCTACCACCCCTTAAAATACTTGCACTTATTTCTGGGACATCCTGTATATTAGAATTCTGATTTCAGCTTGCATTTTCTTTTATACAATCGTGTCACTTAATGCAGTAGTCTTGAAGAATTCAACAGCGAAAGCAATTTGATTAAAAGGAATATCGAACAATCGACTAAAAACTTGCCATAACACAGTTTTTTTTTAATTTTTAGTTAAAAAACCTAATTTCTTCATAATATGGTAACATAGGTAGTAGATTAAATTTAAAAGAAATCAAACCCAGAAAAGATCCATTAGCTCTCAATAGAAAAATATTTTTTTCGTTAGTCGCTTTTAGTTTTAATCTTAACTTTTCAAATACAGGGTGGTAACATTTTTTCTTTTTTTTTTCAAAATACCTCCGATGTTATATTTGATACACGTTTTCCATGCATCAAAATTCTTATTTTGATATACAAACAAAAATGTTTTATTTCTTAATTTCCTTCCAGCCGATGCAGAAATGATTTCCACACAACGGTCAACGCATCAGATTTTCAGTGATTTGACCCTGAAGTCAACTGACTCTAAGTTTTTTAAGCTAAAACTATGCGACGGACGAAAAAAATCAAGATATAAAAAAATGTTTAGATATGAATGAAAATTTTGAAAATAATTTTTATTTTAAGAGAAGTCAGTGGCGTACCACTTTTTTCTTCAAAAATATTCAATGTAAAACCCGTATGGACGGCATTGGTTGAAATAAATAAAATACTTTGTACACCAAAAAAGGTATTTTGATGCATAGAAGACGTGTATCAACACAGATAACACATTATATTAGCTGTGGTATCAAGATTCATAAAGATATCTGTAATAAAATCAGAGTTGTTATAAAAAAAAGTTTTCTTTTAGAAAATTTCACCACCCTGTTATAGTAGAACAATGTCTTAGAAAAAATATGTTATTCGCTTGATAACGATCACAGATTCGCGGAGATTCGCCATTTTGAAATGTCGAACAAAACGTTAATAAAGAGAATGCAAGTAGGAAATCTGAATTTTATTTCAGATCATATCTTCATTCAAAAATTCTATTATTTAATTCTTAGTCTAATTATATTATATTATTATAGTTTAGAGTGTTTAAATATCAGGGGATAAAATTATTTTATACCGTTTCAGGCAAATTACAAAAAAGTTATTGAATATTTTATGCCTCAATAGTGCATTAGATTATATTATAGATAAAATAAGTATAGACAAAGAAAAACGACTAAATATATGTACTTAAATGTACACAACTAATGAAATTCACATGAGTATGTAAAGTGCAAATGCAAAAATCATATACTCTAACAGTGTCTTAAGATAGAACACTCTACTATTATTTCTATTTCTATATTGTTTATTATTCAAGCAAGTATATTGAAGAAAAATGCAAAATGCTAACTAAATAATTTCATTATTTTTACTAATCATTATTTTGTCTAATTTGGATATAAACTGTTTCCATTCCTCGTCATTTGGATTTCTACCCATCAGCTGTTTTGGCGAGGTCTCACGCGATGACTTTTTACTTTTTTTATTGAAAAAGTTAGATCGTGATCCACCCTTAGAATTGTCAGGATTTTTGGACAACTTTCTCGACGACCCAAAGCGTTTGCGATTCGTTTTTGATGGAGATATATGATAGGTTTCCAATAAAATAGATTTAGTTAGAAAATCCGAAGATGGACTACCTGGTGATAAAGCACAAGCGTTTTCGTACATTGCGCGACCTGATTCTTCATCGGAACTTACTTCTTCGTCGTAATTGTTATTATTCTGGATGTCTGGCGGAAATTTAAATATTATATTTTCAGAAACTGATCTTGAGCTGATTCTATTCGAGTTATTTTCGTTTGAATCAAAATTCTTGAGAATGTTTTTAGAAAATTCAGAATCAGAACCAGTGTATTTGGACAAATTATTATTAACGCTGTGTAGGTTAATGACAGATTCATTTGAACTAACTGAGTAATTATCACAAGCTAGTTTAATTTCCCCTTCATTGACATAATTCATATTATCATAATTGCTAATAAAATATTGATCACTATTTTTGGAAATTAAGGAATCTTCGCTAAGAAAAGAGTTGCTGATGCTAATGTGAGGAATGTCTTGCAAATTCAGAGAATTATCCGAGCTAGTTCTCCTAGTATTGGAGTATTTTACGTTTAAATTTTCTTCGCGATATATATTTCCAAGAGTATTAGCTGATGGGGAGTAAATCCTTGTTTTACCCCTAAAAACCTCTTTAATCCTTTGAAAGGGTTTAGTAACTGATAATTTTGCATTTTTCTTCTTGATATTTAGGTTATCTACTCGTGAAAAGGTATTAGTGGAAAGCAGCGGTTTGGACCAGAGGGGCTTACCTGCGGTTACGGTAATATCGGACTGACTAGCAACTAGGGGACTAGGTTTTTCTGATTGGGTGATTACAGAACTAGCTGGTGATATAGCTAAGGGTGGGGGAGGAGGTGCAGCTTTCTTTCTTCGACCTGAAAAAGAAAACAGAAAATTATAATTTGTGCTATCAAAAAATATGTGTGTACTGCAATAGTTAAAACAAAACCAGTAATTCAGAGATATGGTCGGCCACATCGTATTATTTTAAATATTTATAAATAGACATATCTTTTTGGTTTGGTTTGGTATAGTTTATGTAAAAATATATACAGTGTGTACAATGTGTACATAAATGGAATAAATTCGTTTTCTTGAACTGGAATTTTATTTCAATAAAATGCTCCAACACGTCGATCTATTTAATAAAAGGGGCACATTTTAGGCATATTACCTTGCCTCCAGCTTCACCCCCTGAGTGGGGGTGAGTGGCACCCCTAGTTTTTGTAATAGGAAGGGGGGTCGAGTGATACCTTATTTTAAAGCTCTCTCGAGATTATAGTCCTAGAGTTTGAAGTTGCTAGTGTCATCTTTGTTAACATGACAGCTTGTCAAAATTCTTAATTTTCTTAGTTTTGTCAAGCTGCCATATTAACAGAAATTATGGTAGCAGCTTCAAACTCTAGGGTTATAATCTCTAGTGAGAGACCTTTAAAATAAGGTATCACTCGACCCCCCTTCCCATTACAAAAACTAGGGGTGCCACTCACCCCCACTCGGTGGGTGAACTTAGAGACAATGTAATATGGTAATATGCCTACTTATATCATAAACAAAGTTTAAAGTTGCTACTGTAATTTCTGTTAATATGGCAGCTTGACAAAACTAATAAAATTAGGAATTTTGACAATCTGTCATGTTAACAAAGATGACACTAGCAACTTCAAACTCTAGAGCTATAATCTGGAGAAAGAGACCTTTAAAATAAGGTATCACTCGACCCCCCTTCCTATTACAAAAACTAGGGGTGCCACTCACCCTCGCTCGGGGGGGTGAAGCTAGAGGCAAGGTAATATGCGTAAAATGTGCCCATTTTAAAAAATAGATCGACGTGTTCGAGCATTTTTTTTACTAAAATCCCAGTTTGAGAAAATGAATTTATTCCATACTTTATGTACACAATTAAGTTGGAAAATATAGTTTTCAGATGTTGACTATATTTTGAAATAAATATATTGACTATAATGAATATACCGCGTGCGTCTCAAAAGTGGCTCACCTCTATAAAGCCTAACTTTTTTATTTTTTTGGGATAAAAACGAGATTTGGTATGTTAGTATATGACATAAATTAGGATTGTTTGACGTATTCAATTGTTTTTGGTCGCTTCCTCTTTCACCGAAAATGACTACAAATTTTGATTTTTAAATGGCACCCTCGGTATATTTTTACTTTATGCGATAGAAAATGACACTCATATGTGATGAATTGAATGACATATCATATATCAACTTTTGACATATTCGCCTAAAAACAAATTGTGTTTTAAATTTTAATCTAGAGTGCCATGGCTGTGTTAAAAACACTAATTTTTAAGCCAGGTGTCTTGGAAAAATAGATTTGATCGTCTAATGTTTTTAGTGTCTTGTCCTGACCGGTTAAAAGATGCCCAAATCGTATTTTTAATCACATCTCAATGTTTTCAAATGGAACGAAGGTGGCTCATTAGCATATTTGGAAAAAAACATTTTTTACGAATAATTTGATACCACACACTTAGTATTGCGAGTCAAATTGTCGTTAATAAACAATATGCGAAAATGTCAAAAGTTGACATATGATGTTATGTCATTCTATTCAGAGTGTCATTTTCTATCGAATAAAGTAAAAAAATACCGAGAGGCCATTTAAAAACCAAAAGTTGTAGTCATACCGGAAGTGACCGAAAACAATTGAATATGTCAATCCATGCCTAATTTATGTCATATACTAACATACCAAATCTCGTTGTTTTATCTGAAAAAATAAAAAAGTTACAGGGGGTGAGCCACTTTTGATACGAAGCCGGTATATTGAAAAAATAGTGATATAACAGTAGATATTATAAACAAAAATGTGTTTAGAATTTCATTTAAAATTCAAAATTCAGAAAAACATAAATAGTGTTCTATATGAAATAGACAATTTTGCTGCTTCTTGCAGTACTAAGTACCTAGCGGAAAGTGGAAAATATTTTAAAGGGAAAGTATACCTGCAGAGCATACTGAAAAAACTACGAAAGTCCATTTTTTGGTAATGTGGTTTTAATGCATAATATTTTCCGTCCTATAAAGGTACACCCTCGGGTACATCTTTTGGTATCTAAATAAACGAGAATATCGATAGCGGTCACATGGAAACAGGCGTTTAAAAATGGAAAAAACGATAAAAGTCTATGAGTAATTTGAATAATAAAACGTCTTTCTTGGACATTTATCCCCCCGTTCTTGGACACTCATCGTTTTTCTCGTGTGCTCTTCACCTGAAAACAAACTTGAAACTTGAATAATCTACAGTTCTACGAACTTGAATAATCTACAGTTTATAGCAGTTTATAGCCAGGCTGCGATGGTATATCTCTATTAATGGTTAAATTGTGCTGTCCGTATATTGCCCCTACAATTGCTGTTTAAATAATAGCTATTTTCCGATAAGTTGGAGCATGCAATGATTATGCCCTTGCCAAAAATTTCCAATCCTACAAGTTTAAAAGACATTCGACCTTAAGTAAATTGCCAGTTTTATCAAATTTATTGGAAAAGTTGGTATATAGTCAAGTTTTAAATCATTTAACTAAACATAATTTGATCCCTGATTGCCAGTCAGGATTCAGGAGTAAATATGGTACTTCTGCCGTTTTAGCTAAAATTTTGGATGATATATTAACAGAATTAGATACAGGTAAGGGTGCAAGTCTGCTTTTAGTAGATTATACTAAGGCATTTGACACCTTGGGGCATGATCTTTTACTAGCAAAGCTTCATTATTACGGGTTTTCGGAAAATGTTGTGGAACTGGTTGGCAGTTATTTGTCTAATAGATGCCAGTGTGTAGTTCTCGATGAGGCTCAGTCGGATGCTTTACCGCTTTCTAGGGGTGTACTTTAGGGTTCCATTTTGGGACCACTCTTGTTCCTTATTTACGCCACTGATTTGAAAAATAATGTTGTGGATTGGCGAACTGCATCAATTTGCCAATGACACGCAAATATATGCAACTTACACTGCTGAAAATGCAGTAGCTGTTTACAATAATATTAATTCTGCTCTTGAGAAAATAAGTCTTCAGTTGAATCTTGGCAAAACTCAAATGATTTGTTTTGGTAGGGTACCCTTAGCAAAGGGATTATCTATTAAACTGAATAACGAAATAATCCATCCATTAAAAACTGTCAAGAATTTGGGTTTGGCTATAGATTGTGATTTGAGATTTCGAAATCATGTCAATTCGATTGTGCAGAAAAGTTAGGTATACAGCATTGAGGGGATTGTATAGGGTATAGGAACAAAAATATTATGAGTCATGCATTGAAACGTAGCCTATGTGACAGTTTGGTTCTTAGCCATGCCAACTATGCTGACATTGTCTATGGACCTTGTCTTGACGTGCACTCCTCTTCCAGAATACAGAAGATTCAAAATTCATGTGTACGTTTTATTTGTTCTCTGGATAGAGGGGAGCATATCTCACCTTGGCTTAAAGAATTGAAGTGGCTTAATATGTATGAACGCCGTATAGACACCATTATATTTAAAATCTAAATTAAAACTGCCCCAAACTGTTCATAGCAGAGACACTCGAAATATTAATCAGTTATATCTACTTCAATATAAGACCTCTTTATATCGACGATCATTTACGTATTCTGCGGTTTCGTTCTCAGTAAGTCCCTCGGTTCATTTAGATCAGGGTTCAGAGATTTATTATTCCATAATGTGAGTTGAGTATACTTTGAAACCAGCTAACTATGCCTCTCCTTGGCTCTCTCTTCATCAACACCAATACATGCCTGTTGCTTATAAGTATTAATTGTTCTCTATGTGTGTTACACTAATAGTTTTGTTAATACTTTATATCTTTTATATTTTTTTGTATTTTTGTTTATTATATTTATACATTTCATATATTAATTTAAGATAAGGTAGTAGATATTGATATTATTTGTTAGGTCATACTGTAATGGTACTCGGTTAACCAAGCAGTTATTTACTGAACTTTGCTGAGGATTATTAAAATAAAAACATATTATTATTATTATTATTATTATATCTAAATCTAATTAGTAGATCCTAGAAACTTTTAATAAACAAGTTCCATGGACAACACTGCATATAATGTACATCAAATATGGAAACTAGATATATGTAAATAAATTAGGTGACAAATGAAAATTGAAACTAATTTTGATATTTATCAATAGTGTTTTTAGTCATTTATTTAACGTAGGTATATTTGACTAGCCTGTCGTATTTTTAAGAATCTAATAAACGTTTTTTTTATAATTTTTCACACACACAATTAGAAACTATGATACACTAAATATTTTAAGATGTAATCTTAGAGATGTCCTCTATATTATATTTTATTTGCTCGTATTCTCAAACCCAATATGTGCAATACCTGTCCTGTAGTCATGAACAAATAAAAGAAAAAAAAGTTTTGTTAACTGTGTTAAATAATGTAGGTTATATAAACATACAATTATTTCATCATTTAAATATTCCTATATTGACAATTCAATTTCCGCTTAAAATTTCGGCATATCCTTTGCTATCTTTCTAGGACGACAATTATATTTTATAACGACTGTAGAATATCATAAAGAGATCCTATACAACTAATAAAAAAATAGAATCTGAAATTATACGAGTTAACACACAAATTCGTTTATATAATCATTAATCTGTATATTAACAATACGCTTATAAATTATAGTTTCATTTTGTAACCCAGGTATCATATGCTTTGTTTATATACGAATAGTATATTGGTATTAAACAAGCTCCAAATATGTATACACAAACTTTAGCCAGCCACTTACTTTCATGTTACAAAGCCTTCCAACTTGACTTTAGCCTAGCTGTTACGGTCAAAGTGTATTTGGCTTGGATGCAAC